ATATAATAAAATAGGTTGTTAAAACTTAACTTAAAACTCAAAACTAAAAAAATATGCTTACTTAATTGTTAAGAAACATTTCAAGGTCTTCTGAAGTTGTTCAGCTCGCTCAGCAAGTGTAGACAGCTCCAAGTAAAGTGGGTCTTCCTGCTTAAGTGTTCTCCGCATGGCACTTCTCTTCTTGGCCTTAATGTCTGTGAGAATTTGTGAGACTTGAGCACTCCGGTCAGTCAAGCACTGCCTGAAGGCGCTCTCAGCCACCGGGGGTGTTATGATCTTTGAAGCAAAGCCCTGAACAAGCTGTGAGTCAACATCTGACAAATCAGGAAGCTCATCCACTTCTCCAAACAAGTCACCATAACCAAGATCATCTTGTTGCTGCTGGTCCTTCTTGCTTGTCTTGCGTCGCTTGTTCCCACTCAAACCAATCTCAACTTTATCTGCACGCTTGGGCGCCGCCTGCTGCTTGGGTTGTTTTGGTTTTGGAAGATGTGATGGCGGCGGCATTGCATTCGGAACTGCAGACGCAGCTGGTGCAGTAGGCCTGGCTGGAGCTGGAGATGGAGCAGAAACCCTGGACGGTCCAGTTGCTGTTGATAGCTTGGGTATCTTTGGAGCATGAGATTGGGAGGGCTGAGGCTTGGCAGAAGCCTTGGATTTGGCTTTTGTTTTTTGATGATCGTTTCCAAAGCTGCGAATGAGATCCTGAAAGCCAGTCTGCGCAACCTCCTCTTCACTCTCAGCATCATCAGGCTGTCCATCCTCTGCATCTTGACCTCCCAACGGTTTTGTATTGTTAATTATTAATTAAGTGATGGTGATTGAAATGTGATATCAATTCAATATTAATATACTATTTTGGTTAGCATTTGATATGGTTTGGCAGGAGAACAAAACACCTATATACCTAAAATGATTAAACAATTATAAAAACTAAAAAATCATAACTGGAATTCATTTGATTTCAAAATAAACCATGCCTGGGTTTGATGCTGGTGCAGCCACACTTGAAGAAGCTTGGGATGTGTCTGCTCCAATTGCAAGAGCACCGCCGGTCAGGCTCAAAGGACGAGCTATGCCAAGTTCCTTTGCAACAGGACCCTTCTTCCGTAGCACTGCAGCTTTTGCAGCTGCATGCATGTGTGCAAGTTCATTTCGATTTGGATCCAAGACATGACCATCATGAAGATCAGCTGTGCGTGATACAGCGCGATAGTTGCGGGTTATGCGCTTGTGCCAGCCACTCAACCCCGTTCGCACATTCACCTTGGGATTGAGAAAAAATCAAATTCATACTAAATGTCTGAAGCTTCTAGTTCTAGCATATTTATATAATATATATAGCTCAAATACACACTGACAACTTTGTTCAAAGATGATGACCAAAGTGACACCAGCTTTGAGGCAACCAGTGCCATCAGGATCATCAAAGACAATATCCTCCTGGTTTGCCTTTCCGTACATATCTTCATATACTTCGAGCTCGACAAAGTATTCCTCAGGAGCCTCAAGACCACTCTCGGCAGTGGTACAGGTAACCACCTGCTCTCTGGTTAGCCCATTGGATTCCAGACGAAACCTCATAGAGGGATTCTCAATCTTCTTCTTGATCAGCTTTGCTCGAACAGCCTTGGAGAAAGAATGTAGACAACTTTGTACACTGTAGATTCTATACCACATCTAATTTTGAAATAAAACCTGCACACACAAAATAGTATAGTTGGAGCTGGAGCAAGGAGCAAGAAATTCATGCAATTTGGATGGGTTCTCTGCGATGATCTTACCAAAGCGCTCTTCACTAGAATGTTCTGCAGCAAAGCCACCTTGCTCCCAGACCTTGCTTTGTGAGAGACTTGGTGTCCAGGTAATTTCTGAATTTCTCCACTATGCACCTAGAGAATCTATATATAGAAGAAGACTAAAAACCCTAGCCCTAAACTAAACATAAACAGTTTACACGTCTCAAACTGATGAGACTAGGTACAATGAGGCAGACTTTGCACAACCCACCAATTGGACTGTCTGGCTTTCCTCTTGCCCAAGGGATGTTGGGATCCCAGCTTGCCAATGGAGTTCCAAAAAGAGCCCAAGGACAGGGTGTGTTCGAGAAAGTGCCGCAATATCTACACTTGCGGATCACAAGGCGGGCAACTCGCTTTCCACCATCACTTCCAGCATCGCTCTCCGCTCTGCCAACCGATGACATTTCAATGCGTGTCAACTACCACTAGTTTGCTCACCAAAAATGGCTAAACAGCAAGTGAAAGGTTGTAGTTTGCTCAATCACAAATCTACACATGAGAAGTGAAACAGTTGATTGAGTTGAATCTCATTCACAAAACAAAATGATTGAGGCAAAGAAACAAGGAGATCGATTCTATTTTCCCAGATCCGATCCCAGTTGAGTTTTGAGCTAATTAAGTCACTTGCCAGGCTCTCTCCTAGATGCCAGAGCGCATCACCAAGGCATCAAACCTGAGCGTCGCTAGCCCGTCACAAGATGCAACATTGCACACAGTATTGTTTACCCACTGCACATCAATGTGTCCATATTGTGCGTGCGATGCGCGCATCGTATGCGCACCGTACGTGCATCGTCCGTTCATTGTCCGTCCATTGTTTGTTGATTGTCCGTTCATTGTCCGTCCATTGTACTGCACACTGTACATTGCTAACAAAATCACCTTTTGTTAGCAAAAATTGCTAACAAAACATATATTTCCTAGCAATGTATAGTGTGCAGCGCTAACAAAAATGGGTTTTGTTAGCAATTTTTGCTAACAAAATGAATTTTTGTTAGCAATGTACTGTGTACAGTGCGGTGCACGGAACAATACATGTACGGTGTACAGTACACACATACACTGCATGTACAACGCACGCACGGAACTGTGCATGTGTGGCTCTAGTGAACAACATGTGCGTTCTGGGATGAACAAACATGCATATGGGCGCACACACGCATAGCACAGACATGGGTAGACAAAATAAGCAAACACAGAACCAGATTGAAACTGAAAAGTGTACACAATAGGAGACCATGGAATTAGAATCTAGAATCTAGAATCTAGAATTACAATTAAAATTACAACTAGAATTACAATTAAAATTGCTAACTCCTCTAAAGGCCAAGAAGAACCATTAAGACTTAATCAACAGGTCTTCATGAGCCGGTGCATTGTGTATTGTTATTTTTTCCTGTGGTTAATGCATTGACATCATCAAATCAATTCACTGCCCTCAATCATGTTTTATAGACATATTACTACTTATGATTCATGTAGTTTTGTCACCTGTTCTACTCTGAAACTCTTCAACACTGCCAAAGTAACAAACTCTTGCGCCGTCCATGGTCTTCCTGCTGGGATATATCCTTGCCGACGACATACCACTTCAGGACATGGGCCTGCCAGACAAATGTGATGAAAGCCAAACTTGATACTTATGTTTCCTAAAAATGAAGGTGATGAATATTATAATAATATAATTATGAATATAATATGCATGCATGCATGCAATTGAACTGTTGAAGCCAACTGTCGCTGACCGACTGTAAATAGATGTTGCGATTGAGACAAGGACACAAGGACCCTTAATCACAGTAGTGTGCTTCTCTGATTAACAAAAGTCCACAAAAAAAACAAACGGTCAAGCAATTTGCCTTGTAGTCTTCTGGCAGCTTTTTGAACTGCTTCAACACTTTGCAGTTCTTGTGCAGTTTGCATCCAAAGCTCACAGTGTGGCCCGGGCTTCCTTCACGGAAAGCTGTAACCCGACCTGGACGACCAATTGGTAGACCAGTGATAAATATAGTGTGAATTTAGTTAATTAATAGTAGACATGGGCCACCAAAGATATGTCAACAAGGTTACTCGTTTTGATGAAGTTATGACATATGACATATGGCTAATTGCTACTGCAAGCCCTGATTATACATCTCAAACTCAAGCGCCAGAGACATGTTTCTTTTGTTTTTGTTTCCCGCCTAGTACTTGTCCACTTGGAAGTCTGACATACCCCTGTGTATCGCAGGTTGCCTGGATGCTATTTCGAGCATCCACAGACTGAAACACAGCTTCTTGATCAGGTTCTCCCCGGTTAGAAGAACTGCCACTTCTTCGCTGGGGCTGCTCACGTCCATGGTCCTTTAGCTGACAAAGAAGAAAATAACCAGCACACCAGCAACAAAACTTAGTCAACAAAACAAAAGAACTCCTCCGACAACTATTTTGATTTACAAAAAAACAACGATAATCCCGAGAACTATAACTTATGACTTATTATTAACTATCATAAGCTATTACAACTATAAACACAACAAATGGCATGAGTTGTTTGACTTCTGTGGACGGACAACCACTAACTAGCTAACTAACTAACAAGTTCAAATTTACCGGTAGTACATCCAAAGACTTTATATATACTATACTATTATACTATTATATAATAAATACATATACAGTACCATACTTTACTCAACTCAACTCCATAGTTCAATATGGCACATCGCAAGCCAATGTTGCTCATACAGGTTAGTGAAATCGACAC